ACTACTATTTTTTCCATTGATGGTAAAATAACTCACTGCTACAGAAGAGAGGATTTAATATCAAATTTTGTCCTATTTGGCAAAACTTAGTGTGATCTGCTACATGTCCTCCAGATGTTACAGGACAATCTGCACTCAAGAAGGTGATCACAACGATCATCTTGATGATCATTGATCGATGATCTTCTGGGCTTCCACCCTGGCAGTCAATACAGCTACATACCTATGAGCAAGAACCACAGTGGTTAAACACCACCTTCTGCATCTCAGAGTCCACCAGCAGTCTGTTCCTTGGGCCCAGTTTTGCTCAGCCCCAGGGGACAGGAACGTTCCCCTGTTCACAGTGATGATCTCTGGCAGATGAACACGAATCAGTGGCCACACGATTCAAAGACACACTCCGACAGGCAACATTTCAACACCCTGCAACTCTACTCTGAAAACTCCAGCTGGATGAGGAAACCTGTTGTGCCATAATGTTGACTGAAGAGTCAAACACTTTCACATTCARTTTAAATAATGCTAATAGGGGAGGACAGAACATTCTCTCTCCCATTATTTCTTATAAAGAAAGAGACTGGCCTTGCACTGCTAGTGGAAATGTTGCTGAAATGTTGCTGAAAAGCATCGTGCACAGGCATGCAGGTAAGCATAAAACTCAGACACAATTGCTGAACTCTGTGTTGGCAGCCGGACTGCCGTAACCCATGTCCCCTGAGCAGCAGTCAGCTATGAAGGACCAGGAAAAAGTTCCCGGGTAATGATTAACAACCCAGGGGCTCTTATTCACTGCAGGCAGAACAGCAGCAGTGCAGCTGGCGATGCCGGGCGCCTCTCCCTCTGGAATGCTGCTGGATGCCTGCAACCAAACTCGCAGAGAAGCAGGGAAAACGGCCACCCTGATGCTACCAAATGCAAGAAGCTGCATTTCCCCTGCCCCGACTTGGCATGTAAGGAGGGTATTTGCCCAAACTGGGATTTTCCATCAGCTTGATGCTGGAAGAATGTGACCAATTCCAATATCACCGTCTAGCAAATGTACTTGTGTAGTTATTGGTAACATTGCTAAGGTTATTGATATCAGTTGCAGACAATTTCTTTCTATATAGAAGCAAGTAAACAACTTTAATGGCAACTGGCAAGTGTCAATGTTAATCGGTGCAGCCACAGTGTTAGTACTGGAGCAGATGGTTAAAGTGCACCCTTTTAGTTTAAAAACTGAAGCATGAATATCCTATGAACAATTCAGGAAAAATCAAAGCCATCATGGCTGTTCTCCTTGTTCTGGTGCTCTTAACCTTCAAGTGCTGGAACAAAAGGCAAACTAACAAAGAAAATAGAGTGAAGTATTTCATAACTGTTACTGCAATCTCCTCAAAAAGCACTTTTAAACTCTTCGAGCAACACATGAAAGGCAAACATGCCACAACACCCCCTGCATTACCCCCAGCGCTACTGGATAGAGAGGCAAAAGGCTATTGCCTGGACTTCAGGTTTGGGAAACCATATTCACTCCTTTCTTCTCGAGCATTTAATGATGTAACTTCATCTGTCACAAGGGAAAAAAAAAAAAAAAAAAAAGTAGTTGCAGCTTTATTTTTTTGTTTTCCAACAAAACCATTTGCTGCTTATTTAAGAAGACCTTGAAAGAAACTATTTACCAAAAAAAAAAGCAAATTCTTTCTTTCAATAAAATCACTCTTCCTCTGAAAGGCTTTGCTCTCTGTGTGGATTATTCATTTACTTTAATTATTTTGAAGTGCCTCTGTTTGAGTGGGTAGGAGTTAAGTATCCACAATACCAAAGTAGGTCCTAGAACTAGCTGTTATAAACAAAATGTTCTGCAGTGGCCTAAATCTGCACAAGTAGTAAACCTTGAGGGGTTCAGAAGCCTTTTTTTTTTTTTTTTTTTTTTTTTAAAGTATTTCTGGAGAGTCTGAAAGCTATGGGACTCAGTTCCAAGAGCACGTATTACTGGACTTATCTTTTATGGGCATGTCATTTCATTTTTGTCATGAACACAGACTTAAATCATTTTCTCCTCACATTTTAGGAAGACAAAAATGTTGCTCTTGTTTCAGTGCAGAAAGTTCCACTTGCAAGATGCTGGTACCAATTACAGCAAGCGAGGAGAATTTACAATCTACCACACAGAGGACAGGCCAAGGACAATGGCCAAGTGATAGAGAAAAAAGTGAAAAGCCAGAACCAAAGGCAGGTAACCAAAAGCAAATAGCCACCTTTCATGATCACTCTACCTACCTCCTCCCTCACAGAGGTGCATGGCCTCCCCTTCCACACACCTATTCATACACAAATACAGGAATATTTACATTGCCGCCCTTTTTTAAATAGTTTCAGCCCAGACATCTTTCTGGTACACACGCCAGAAACAACAAGTAAGAAATAAGCCAAGGAAGGAAGAGGAATCAATGCATAGGACCGAACCATTATCTCATGTTATAAACAATAGATTCCTAACAAGATTCCCAAATCAAGCAACTAATATTTGTTTCCCAAGCTGTATTTCAGAGCCACCTGCATGTACACTTAAACCAAAATGCCAGCAGTCTAGCATCCTCACCTTTGAGGAATTTTAATTCTCAATCTCATGAAAAAAAAAAAAAGAAAAAAAGAAAAAAAACCTCACYTCCAAACATTTCACTCTGTTCATCAAGACTGCTATAATTTTGCTCCAGATTAAAAACAAAAATGTGATAAACTTCCTTAATAAACAAGAGAGAGACCTTTTCAAATGAAGAGTTTCCACTCATTCTCTACTCATTTCTTGGGAAATGCTTGGGAAATCTCACTTCCTAATGTCCCCACTTGGGCTTTGCATTCCTGTCCTTTGTGCACTCTCCTATACAGAGTTCTAGCTCCTCTGCCCTGTTGCGCACCCAATAGTTCAGCCAGTCACCCTAAAACTCTGTAGAGATATGAGAGAAGGGAAAGAAAATAATAGAACGGAATAAACTAGGAGAACAATTCTGCAGTTACGCAAATGTAGGTCCTGGTTATATCTTAGGAAATAGTTGCTGGAAAACACAAGTTTTTTGTTGAGGTTTGATTTAAAAATCTGTTACTTTTGGCGTTCGGGTGTAGGTACTGCTGCTGGCTCCACAACAATTTGCACAGCTTATCACTCAGTAAAACGTCTAAGGTGAGCACCAAGCTGAGGAAATTCTAAACAAGGGTCCACAGAAGCACACACGTCTTTCTGCTAGATTTCTCCTATTCACTCCTCCATGGCAAATTACATGATCATCGTCTTGTAGCTGCAGGCTTAGCTGTGCATGTAAAAAGAAAAATATTACCAGCTGATTCTTTATCACGCTTTACAGTTAAGAATCTGACAAACTGTGGATTTGTGAGTAACAGAAAACAAAAGGTACATTTTGTTACCATTTACCTACTCTTTAGTTGGCACACACTGTGTAAATAGGTATTTTTTTAAATAGTTTCCCATGCTCACTACAAATAAAGAAATAAAGCTACAGCTCTTACACTGCAAAGACTAACACACATGCTTACCTTTCTGTCCCATAATTAATCCCAGCTGCTTCAGTAGGACCACTCGAATTGCTGACAGGGAAATACCCATGTAAGTGCTTGCAGAAGCATGGCTTCAATTGCCAGCAGCATTATTGGGAAGAACTAAATGTCTAGGCCTACCATGGCTCAGTATTGCTGAGTGTTGCCTTGCCTTGGAGAATGTACCTGGCACCAAATACTGCCAGTAACAAATCATCTGCACCTCCCTGCTCTACCAGTTCGCACCTTTCCTTACTCATCAAATACAATTCTGCCTTTCCACACATCCTCCCACAGTTGCCATGTGCAGAAGGAGACAGGAGATGCGTTTTAGTCCTTTCTGTGCTTCTGGGCACTGAAGTGGGATGAGAAGGCAGCGTGGCCCGTGCACTAATGAGCACAGTTATAAGCAGGTCCCACGTGCATTAACACGGCTGGGTGAGCAGTCTCTCGGGTCACCCGCCAGGCTCCCAGTCTCCCACCGAGGAGTATTTGCCTGCTTAATTCTATGGGCAGTCCTTAATCTGCATCTTGTTTATTGGGGCTCATGACAATCAATTGCTCATCAAAAGGTACAAACACTGGATACTTAAACCACCTAGTTCTGTTTCCCGGTGAGTAATTTAGCATAGGGCTTCATCTGTAAAGATGCTATATCCATGAATGCTGTCTGAAAAATTACTCTCTGTACATTCTTCAATTTTTGTCTACATTCCATAGCTTCCACAGACACTTCTGCCTGTAAGTTATGTCAAAAAAAAAAAAAAAAAAATCAATCAAACAAACAAAAACCATCAGAAAGCACACCGAGGATACCAGGAAAGCAAAGTCAATCCCTTAAAAGTTTAAATGACTATTTGTCACAAACATTTCACCTCTACTAATGAACTGCAAAAATGAATGATAGAAAATTCAAAACTGTATTATGTTTAGCAGTTAACATTTTAATAAGGAGGAGATTAGCAATTTTTAATACCTCCAGTGCTTTGTTATATACAGTGGCACAATAACAGAATATTTTAATTGCTAATTATTTAGACCTCATTCAGTTCTCACTCAGGCAAAACTCCCATTGAGGGACTCCTGCCTATGAAAAGAGCTACAGGATTTGCCTTGCTGTTATTTGAAAAAATCCTTATATATCATAAAATCTATCAAGTTATAGAGAGAACAATCTCCAAATCCTTAGCAATATTAAACACTACTGAAAGCCCCACTGACTCTTAGCACCAACATGTTTATATTAAGTAAAATAGCTTATTGCAGTTCACAGATTGTAACTTACCTGTATAATTTATGCCCTAATGTGCATTGCTAGAGGTCTAGCCATGTTTTGGGCCTTCTAGTCCTTTCCCTGCTTTTCTACTGTGGGAAATCTTAGTGCAAATGTGATAAGGAAAGAGCATTTCCAAACAATTCTGATATCAATAGCTTTAGGAAAACCCCCAAGTAGTATTTGATTTTACCTTTTGACTTCGGACTCCAAAAGGGTTAAGAGCAGCTCCTAACACTTCTTCTCTATGCTGCTGTAAAGAAAAGAAATGCTTATGTTTAGAGATCTGCACACACAACACCTCAGGTTTTCATAACAGTTAAATAAACAGGCATTCAGTGGTGAAAGTGGGTGGAATACTGTATATATATAAACATTTATCTATCTAAAAGAAGACGAAACTAAGTCCTACACATTCGCATTTAGTACACAGGTGACAAGCAAATAAACAACACGCACTAGTACCCCAAATGTCACATTATATGCACACTTTAGAGAGAAAAGTTGCACAACCAAACACCAGTTTAATTGGGAGTCCTTGATATTGCCTCCAGGCTTAGAAGAACCCATCAATTATTTCTCTTTCAGTTAAAGGGCAGTTTCATTCTTGTTATGTTCAAAAAGCAAATACACAACCAATTTTCACCGTTTACGTTTGCCATTCAAATGCGTTTATGGGCAAAGGTATAGCTATGCTCTTAACGGTCAAGAGTTTAGAGAGTCCTTTTTCTTGAATGAAGAATTGTATTTAATTTCTCCTCACCTCTTAGCTATAAATGACTTTAAAGACTAAAACTTTGAAAAACCGCCTTTGGAAAAAGAAGTGGAGAGTTAGTACCACATAACACTACCTACCAAAATGTTTATAACCGGTTACCAAAAATATGAGGTGTTTTTAAGTCATTTATTAGAGTAGGGTGCTCTAGTGACATCAGTTCAAGATTAGAGACCCAAGCTCCATAATTTCCACTTGCCGCTACGAGAGGTCCAGTTTGGTTACAATTCCCAAATCCGCCCCAGGCGGATGTCCTGCTTCCACACAGAAGTAGCTAGGGCCTTTCACAGCCTTCCAATGCCAAGCTTTCCACCTGGGAAGCTATGGCCCAGTCTAGCAGCCAGCGCAAGCACGGCAGGAATGGCCTAACTAAGCCTACGGGTATCCCTTAATCCTGCACTGCTGAGGGAGGTTCGCAGCCAGCAACACAGGCATTTGAATCATCCGTATCTTGGCCCCTTTGCCGTAGGGCAGAGCCGAGGCCATCGCTTACTCGTACTCTTACACTCACTCCATATGGGCCTGCTTCCCTGCAGCTCATGTGCTGTGCAGTCTGCTGAGCTGGTAACACACCGGGGAACTGGGATTCATTCAGAGGACTCTGTTAAGAGGATGGCCCTGCTCCTTGCAGCAACCCTTCTTCGTTAGAAAGCCTGCATAGGGTCCTCAAAGAGGATGTAACAACAGCAAGCTTCTCACGCATCGTTTCCAAGGTGGACTTCCCACCAGTTCCCATGTGTGACAGAGAAGCTTGGGTTTCCTTCTCCATGCCACCATGCTCATCATTTCTTTGTAGTCTGCAGCCTTCCTTGTGTTTCTTGGGGGCTTTCTCCCTCCGATGACCACAGGCCAGCAGTGCCCCAAGATCAGCATTTGCAAAACTTTCCCTATGGAAATGCCTYGGCCTACTGAATGCACAGTGTAGCGGGTGAGACGGCGGCTTCCACGGCTCTTCCGTGGCCCAAGGTTTGTTTTGCCTRAACTAAGGTTGGGTGGCATGTGCTTGAGCTTTCACAAGGTCTGCAGTTGCCTAGAGAGGCGCAGTGGATGGCAGCTGTTAGCATTTCCCAACATTACACAACCATGGTCTGGAATAGTCTGTCAGCTCTGTGCAGACAGTGAATAAAGCAAAGCAGAATGCCTCGAGTATTGAGTAATGAGGAGAGGATTTTTGACCTTTCCGAGCCRTTAGATGTATTGCATGAAGATACGTTTGACTTAGGTGATACTATTAGATATGAAATCGTGCTGTTTGCCTAATGCCTAACTCACCTAACAGCTAAAATGCTTTATATTTGCTGGCAAATTGTGTTTTGCCATGAGAGCTGGTTTGAATAGCCCTACACTTGATTTGTGGAGGAAGAGAGGGTAAAACTGGGAGAAGATCAAAAGGGAAGGAATGAAGCACAGGAAACTTATCCCCATGTGAATTAAAATCTTTTCCATCTCAAATTGTCACTGATCAGTCAGACCCAGTGTGGTACCTTGATATTCTCTCCTCCAAATTCATGAAATACTGGATCTAAAGTCCAAACTCCCAGTATCTCTTCTCTAGCCTGTTGATATCTGAGATTTGTTCAACTAAACATAACACACATAACATACAGAGCTATCTTTACATCAAATATGATTTCTGCCAAAAAGTGATAAACAAAAGTCTCTACAACTTTCACAACTTTTACAATTATTTTGCCTTTTCTTTTTTTTTTTTCTCTCCATTCTTTTAATGTCTGYATTTAACTAATGGTAACATAATGGTAACATTTCTGCCACATACTTTTTAAATTTTGTGACTAAATTAATGAAGCCTTATCTTTGGGATACAAAGTATTTCAGATGGTCATCTGTTGGATCAAATCACCTATCAATCAGAGCCACTCAATCCAAAATTACAAAATATCCTTCTGTTTTTCARCTCCAACCTCCACTTTTACCTGAAGTTATTCCAGTTGGGTCAACCCCTTACTGGTGATTGAAATTGTACTATGTAAATCTCTCACAATCTGATACAACAAAGTAAAAACCATGCACACAGCTCAGGAAAGTCACTTCTGGCCCACTTTTGTACAAAACAAGAGCAAATACTTCCCAATATTGGTTCACAATAGGCTTACTGACCTCAAAGTCATAAAATACATCACAGTCCTCACTCAAACATGGGATAAACTATGGTGATTTCCTAGAAAAAAATGTTTCAAGGATGAATCACATTAGTTAAACTTATTAATTCTATGCTATAAAATATCAAACCATAATAAGATCTATCACAAAAATAAGAGGCATACAAAAGTGCAAAATTTGACCAGTGCAAGATTAAAAATGTCTCTTCTGTGGTGTGGCTCGCTAGTAGAGAAATAGCAGCATTCTGTACTGCTGTTCAGAAGCAGAAGGAAAGAACTATACACACTTGTTCACTTCTTATTAGTAATGCTGTATAAGCTGCAAGGCCTTTTGTCTTCTGCTRCTAATGAAAAAAAATCACATGAGATGAACTACCACTAGAACAAGTGAGACTGAGATAAACACACTCAGCTCAAGAATGTGCACGCACCTTATTTACATCTTCTCTCAAGTTTATGGAACTTTCACCATGAATAACATGGAAAGAGTGAGGAGGAAACATTACAGAATGGTAGCTGTGAGGATCTTCTCTTTTTAAGATTCTACATTTGAAGAATAAAATGTAGAGAAAAAGACAAATTATATAAGAATCACTCCAGTTCATTTCGTCCCAAACAGAGTCATCATACATGCAAACTAAATGGTGTGGTAGCAAGTGGATGAAAGGAATCACTGTTGATTAATGCTAAGAATATAGGAATCAAAAGGATTTTAGACAATGATTCACTGTGAGACTACGGGTAAATCTCTCGGCCTTTTCAGCTTCAATCAACCTGGCATGAACAGTGAGCAAAGTATGTGCTTAGCAAAACGGACAAAGCACTGCAGCAATGCTCTTTAAGAAAAGGAAAAAAAGAAAAAAGATTTATGCGTGAATTTAATGAAAAAGGCTAATCTGGCAAACTCTGAGTTTGGAATCCGGGTAGTACTTCTCATAGCAGAACAAACTCCCTCCCTGGGCTGCAGCCTTGAGCTGGAACATGGAGCTGAGCAGTTGGAGCRCGACGGAGCTCAGGTTCTGCGCCTGCTTCAGCCGCCTCCGCTGCCCGTGAAACCACAGACCAATCCCTGCGGACAGTCGGGAGTGACTGCTGTGTGTGTGTGATCTGGGCATTKGCCCATGAGGTCTACACTTGATTAGCTCTTTAATTAATTGGTCCAAAAGCCAAGCTTATCTGTCCATGGAAGAAAAATACAACTGTTGAACTACCGTGATAAGGCTAAAGCCTGGAGATTTTTTACATGAAGAATGCCAAAGAGAAGGCCATTGACCTATCTGTGAAGATAAGGTGATGAATTACTGGATGTGAACTGATTTGCCTGCAGAAAGCTTCGTGTGTTTACAGAAAAAAAGAGTGCTAAAGAAACAACAGTCAGTATTACAAGTCCATCTTAGCACATGAAGACATCTGTGATGAAAGAATTTAATCCCTCCCTATGCACATCAATATTCTCTTGGAAAATGGCTGTCTGACCATATTTATCTACACGGGAGACTTGTGTTAACTGTCTAGCCTAAAAGCAAATGGACTTTTGAAGGCAACAGTCCCACGATGGAAGTTGGGAATCAAACATCTGTAAAACTACCAGGTTTATATCCTGTTAACTTAATGTCCAGTAACTGTAATTAAGCAGACAGCATTGCCTGGAACATGAGCGGCAAACGGAATTATTAATATTAGAGGTAGTAGCAACTACCATGGTTATTTCTTCAGAAGAAAACACCAATGCAGAGAGTGAATTATAACATGCCATGGTAACAGATGAAGACTTCAACTGTCAACAAAATCAGGCTACTAATTCTCACATAAACAGTCCTTTTAAATCTTTGATTTTTAATATGCAGTCCAAAGACCACTCTCACATTTCAGCAGCTTTTGTCTTTTAGTGCCAATCATTTCAGCTGACTCTTCTCACTAGCCCGTGTTCTCTCTCACCTTTGGGAAAGGGGAGTGAAAATATCAAATGGTATCTTACTCTGCCAAGACCAAAGGAACTGTTCAAACATTCAAAAAATTAAGTAATGACTTTTCTCAAGCCAAGAAGGGAACATAATTAACAGTGAGGTAGATCATTGCCTGCTGGGAGGGAGAACTTCAACCCACATCTCTTTCTCACTCTCTGATTCAGTCTCTGTTTAGGCCTAGTCTATGTAAACAGCAGCTGAAATCTATTGGATGGACAACATAAAATTATTTGGCTGCTAATCACACTTGTTCCCAAGAGACAAACAGTCAGATCCATGGGGAAATTGGGACTATGGCCTGTTCATAACCACTCAAAGKAAAGAAGCACTGACTGATGCACCTCGAGCAAACCGCCACCTCTCACAGGATGCCRGGTCACAGAACACAGCT